TAACACAGTATATAAAACGTAATTCTGACCCGATTAAAGGATCATTGTGAACACATAAATAACATTCTGCCTGTACGTAGATGTTCCCTTTTGTATGAAAATGTATTTCATATTTTTTTTCATGTACCAGGGAATGAAACCTACCTGTGGCATTGAGCTGTTAATGCAAGATCCTGACACCAATTAGCCCTTATTCAAATCTCAGACTATAGGACCCAATGGCAGAGGTGCCTAGCAAGGCCGGATGGAGAGGCAGCTGCCTTTTAATGAACATTGTTGGTAAAGAGGGATGAAATAACCATTGACCAATGTGCTAATGTCATCTTTACTAACATGCATAGCTGCACCCAGAAGTGTCCTGCTTCTCTCCTGGCTGGATCTTACTACAAGGATTTGTTCCCAAGGTTTCCCAGAATGTGACATCTGTGGTCACTCACATGACTGCTCACACATCAGATTAGACCAGTGGTGGTCAACTAATTTTAGGAAGCCTTACATGTGGCCCTAATCTTACTAAAGTGCCACATATAATATTCATTGTGTAATGCTACAGAAGGAGATGCAATAGGAGATGTCAGGCACTGCAGACATGCTACAAGAGATGGTCAGAGACTGCAAACATGCTACATTGAACTGTGAACATGCTAGCAGAGTTCTTAGAGACTAGGTATAAAGCTTCAGAAGACTGGACACATGTTTCATGAGACTTCTAGCGATCACTGTTAATACAGCCCCTTACAAACCAATTCCTCCACATTTGTGCTCTCTGACTCCTCCTTACAAACTGTTTTGCTGATACTCGCTCCATGGCTCCGAGCGCCAACAATCATCCTGCGTTCAAAGGCTGTTAAATCGCGTTGTTTATCCATATATTCAGAAAAAAAAATCACTTCTACTGTCACTCCTGCTTCCCTATTTATAATGGTCTGGCCCTCTAGTAACTTCAGCACGAAATTATAGCTAATTTGCCTACAAACATCAGGTGGTCATAATAATCTGGCCACTCAGTGTAGACTGTTTACTTTGCAACCTACAGCTGAAATATTTTTAACACTGAATGGAACCTTACCCTAATAACTTATCTTATTTTTTGTTTAAAATAAAATATTAAAAAAATTATTGTTTCAGCTTGTCATTGACTTTCTCTGACATACTTCTAATAAAGTGACATTAAAGTAAAAAAAAAAAATCCCTCCCCCCATGTTGATGCCAGCACTTACCTTAAATGATGTCTCTTAATCCGATCTTCTTCTTCTTTCCTGATGTTTTCATCTGTCCCTCCAGCGGTGCGGCGGCTCTCCGATCCAGCGCTGACTCCTCTCTGCTTGCATGCACTTCTGATCCAGCGGTGTCTGCATGCGGGTGCACGCGTCCATAGATTTACCTTGTGTCTCTGCTCCCGCCCGAAAATCCGAACTACGCATGCGCCCGCCCCAAGATGCTTTGTGACTGCCCGGGCAGTTTCGGATTCTCGACGGGAGCGCACGGCGAAAACGGGGTAAGTTTAAAACGCTGTTAAAGCGTTTAAAAAACTAACAAACTTTTTGCCTATATCTACTGCTTGCCAGCAGTATAGGCAAAAAACTGAGGGTTTAGAACCCCTTTAAATCTTGATCTGCATCCTAAAAGAAAAAAGGAGAATGGTATTTGGAGTCTCCAGTGTAAAATGATACTGCTGATCCTGTGCTCCATCTAGGCCACCATACCTTAGGCAGCTCCTGATCTGGACTGTGATCATCAGCTAATCCCAAACGTCAAACATCTGGATGCACAATCAGGATTAGATAACTGCTAACACTTAAGACACGCCAAAACTAATTCAGTTCTTGTTTTTTTCTTCTTCTGTGACACGATTTCCAGTAGCGCAATGTGTGTTTAGCATGTCAACCACAAAACAACAACATATACATATATATTCTCTCTCTCTCCTCTCTCCCCACAGTACTGTGCAAAAGTGGTAAGCAGGTGTGAAAAATGCTGTAAAGTAAGAATAGTTTCAGAAATACTAATAAGTTTTAATAGTTTATTTTTATCAATTAACAAAATGGAAAGTAAATGAACAGAAGAGAAATCAAAATCAAATCAATATTTGGTGTGACCAGCCTTTGCCTTCACAACGGCACTAATTCTTCCAAGTACACTTACACACAGTTTTTGAAGGAGCTCGACAGGTAGGTTGTTCCAAACATCTGGGAGAACTAACCAGAGATCTTCTGTGGCTGTCGGCTGCCTCAAATCCTTCTGTCTCTTCATGTAATCCCAGACAGACTCCATGATGTTGAGATCAGGGCTCTGTTGGGGCCAAACCATCAGTTGAACAAGGAGTCCTGGAAGTGATGGTTTGGCCCCCACAGAGCCCTGATCTCAACATCATCGAGTTTGTCTGGGATTATATGAAGAATCTGTCGTATGGAAGAACTTACTTCAGGACTTTATCAACGCAATGCAAACTGTTATGTTACTTGGAGCCTCTGGTTACACTTCTGTACTACTGATTGATTTTGTAGTCTTTTTAAACACTTGATCCTATGTCTTTGTACGCGGGGTGTCTCTTTTGGGGGACCCCGGGCTGGTGATCGCATCCTCTTTTTTTTCTTTCCTATTGCTGGGCCGTTTCCTTTTCATACATATATTTGGGTATTGCTCAGACGATTCATTTTAGTCACTTTTAGTTATGCGTTTGGACTGTTGTGTCTAATTACATTGCACTGTCCATTGCCTTTACCATGCTTTGTCCATATACTATTGAGCTGTGTTGTATTCTCATTTGTACGATGCACCCTGGAGATACGCAGGTTTTGGCCCTTCTTTGTATGCATTGGTTTTTTTTTGTTTGTTTTTCTTAAACAAAAAATGTTTATTAATAAACAACCTATTTAACCCCTTCGTGACTGACGACGTACAGTGTACGTCGCCAGCATCGGGGCTGTTTAAACAGACAGAAGTAATTCCTGAATCTCACACAGGACCAGGTGCATGTAGCCCTTGGACCCCCTTCTTATTCATAGCCCCCTTGGCCTTTACACATTTTTATTTGTTTGTACTGTGCTGTAGCTCCACTCCAGGCTGAAGCCCAATTTATGGATGTTCGTATGGTGGAGCACAGCCCTAGGCACCACCCCTCTCGAAGATTCTAAGTGTGTACAGTCCTGTAGTACTGACTATTCACAAATCTAAAAGTAAATGATCAGTCAGCTCTATGGAGCTGTGTGATAGATCTGCCTGAACATACACTGCACTAGTAGATTGTTCAGAGCTGATCTATCTTTCACTTGTGCATGGAGCTGACCCCCTCCCCCCCCCTGTTGTGCTGAATGACAGCAGTGCTCGTCTCCAGCATATGCCTCCTGCCAAAGACAAACACTTCCAGTCAGCCCTCATTAAGTATTTGTCTACTTGCTAGCAGCAGGACTGAACAACAGTGGGGAGGAGGGGAGTTGAGCTGTCAGAGCACACTGCCATGCAACCACAGGATAGATCAGACTAGCCAGTGCTCTTCTGTATTGCTGTATAATGTATTTCTGGGATTTGTCGTCTTCTATAGCCGGTGCTCTTCTGCATTGCTGTATAATGTTTTGCTGGGAGATGTAGTCCTCTATAGCCAGTGCTCTTGTGCATTGCTGTATAATGTATTGCTGGGAGATGTAATCCTCTATAGCTGGAGATATTATTCTGTATTGCTGTATAATGTATCACTGGGATTTGTAGTCCCTCTACAGCTTGGAGTCAGTGGCAGCATTTGCAGCTGTAACCAGGCCGTGGCACTCCACCACTGTCCTAATATCATTAGTCTGTATTGTGTTAGAAAACCTGTCACATGACACTTTAAAAAAATAAAGGTATCGGTAATTGTTATCGGCGAGTACTTGAGGAAAAGTATTTTTGTACTCGGCCCGGAAATAATGTTATCGGTGCATCCCTTTCATTTTAATCATTTCTGACACAAGTTCATATACGAACGCATGAACCCCATTGTACAATATAATTGATAAACAATTAATTTACTAGTTTTTCCAAGAGGGTTTCATTGGGGAAAAGGTATCAAAACAAGAGCAGACAGAATCCGGAGCAGTTGCCAATAATAACCAATCAGCTTCTTCGGTTTAGCTTTTAAAACGAAAGAGAAATGCGGATTGGTCGCCGTGGGCAACTGCTCCAGATTGGATGAATTCCCTTGTTTTTGTGTTAGGATATCCTGTAAAACAAACATTGTGAATCCAGCCTCAGTCACTGTTCTCATTCCAGAATTATATATGAGCCTCGGAGGTCTTCTGTAATGGGAAGTGAACGGAACAGAAAAGCGGTGTTCCTGCAAGCTGTTGGGAAATTCCAGCACAGAGCAGACAGACGTGCACAGTCCGCCATTGACTTCCTCTTCTGCAATCCCTCGGAAACAGCTGGAGAAGCCCATCTCTGGCTACCAGGGGCAACACCACCACGTGACCACCGCGTGCAATCCCCCTTCCCCGTGTCAGACTCACCTCCCACCCCGCCCTCCCAGTGCAGGCCGCGTGCCTGGGCCACGCGCATTCACCATCTCCATGGAAACGCATCGCGTGACTGCAGCAGATTTCCCGCGTCACCACTGTGGGTTTTTTTATGCTTTCCGTCAGTATGTATACTGCGCTGAAGACTCCTCCCTGTATCAAGAAAGGGTTAAAGCACGTCGTCAGAGGAGGGGGGAAGCTCCATCACATGGCCAGCGGGCGGCGAAGGCTGGTAAGTGCGTCAGAGCGATAGCCCCGCCCATGTTTAACCACAAAGGCACAAAAAGCCGCGAAAAGAGGTGAAACAGCTGTCACTGCCGCTGGAGTCGCCCAGCCAAGTATATTATCAAGATGTCAATAAAACATCAGCAGAGTTTATATGTGAGATTGTTGCGTCACATACAATTAGCGCGCTTGTATCTCTCCGTACATTAGAATCCATGATAAGCGTCAGGCAAAATGAAAGGAATGAGCGAACTGGGCGTGTCTATTAAGAGTCGGGGCGTGTCTTGCAGTGCGTGCCTCACGCCGAGGGCGGGGGGAGGTTCCATTGGGCGCCGCGTTGCCATGGCGACTCGGTGGGGGATTTGGTGGCGTTGCTTGTACGCGGATGGAGGGAGCAGCTGCTGATCTCTGACACATCCCCCCCCATAGCAGCTCCCGCACTGCCATATTGTACCGGGACACGGTTCATGCCGGTGAGTAGCCTCGCGAGTCGTGTCGGTATGGGAGCGGCGGTGGTCATGCGGCGTGTAGGCCGGTGTTCTATGGGAATGGGTTTCCCGGTTTCCTCGTTCACAGACCAGTGACTGGGGAGGAGCATGGGGGTGCAGGGTTCACCATGTGGGACGGAGCTGTGTCCTGCTCATGTATATTGTGTGGAGTGGACCTGTGCTTCCCTGGCAGCTGTGTTCCACTGTCCAACAATGAGGGTGCAGGGGTGACATTGTGTACAATGGTGGTACAGGGGTGACACTGTCTATAAAGGGGGTGCAGGGGTGACATGGTGTATTAAGAGGGGTAGGTTTAGAGTTGTTGCTGTATATAAAGGAGGGGTGCAGGGATGCCAATGTGTATATAAAGGAGTAGGGGTGCAGGGATGCCAATGTGTATATAAAGGAGTGGGGGCTCAGGGATGCCAATGTGTATATAAAAGAAGGGGGGTGGAGGGATGCCAATGTTTATATAAAGGGGGGAACGGAAGTCAATTTATATAAAGTGGGTGGCAGGGTTGCCAGTTTATGTAAACGGGGGTCCATGGATACCAATATAACACCCCAGGATGGTGCTTTGGGTTCTATATGCAGCTGGTGTGTACAGTTTGGGATCCAGGTTTGTTCTGATCACGGGTCAGGTGTCATTGACATGTGTATTATAAGTCAAAAATATCCCTAAAATTGATATCAGTGGTCATCCCTGCACCCCTCTTCTAATATACAGAGCAGGGTCATTGTTTGGCCTGAAGATCTGTATTGCTGGTGGGCTGATTGATGGATGATGTGTGTTTGGGGATTCCTAGGATAACCCAGCTTTGGACTCCTGGCCCTATGAGATAGAGATAGAACTAGTAGATCATGAACTGTACAAGGATGCATTGCACCCACCAGCCATAGAAGTGGGTAACAGGAGTAAATCATGTGTGGAGTCCTGATCCAGGGGAAGGAGGGGTGCCCGCCTCTGTACTTTTACCCTACAATAGGTTGGTTGTGCACAACGTGCTCTGTGATCAGACACGGCTGGGAGGAGAGGGTGGCGCTCTGATATGGCAGGCTTTGTTTCCACTTAACCCTTTAGCTGCTAGTTTGTTGAATGAGAGGAATGCCACGTCTGTGCTCTCACTTCCTTACTTCCAGTCGGCTGGTGGGAGTTGTAGAGACCAGACTATGGAGGGCAGATACGGGCTGTCTAGCAGGCAGCTTTTATTCCACATCCTGTTTTGCCTCTTTCTTTATTGAATACTCCTATTTCCTGTTTTGTTCTTTCTCTGTTCTCAGACTAATGCAATCAGTTCTGGATACAATAAAACTAACTGCGCATAGAACGTTCAACAAGGGTTACTGTACTTTGATCTGAACGTGGGTGTTGTCATTGTCACTCTGTAGCTTCACGGTTTGCTATTGCGTTAACTTACCGGAAGAACAAACTCAAATTTGGCTCGATTGCGTCTGCAGATGTGTTTAGCAAGCCGGTTGCAAGAGTAGTGATGCTGTTCAGCCACAGTTGCCCGTAGTAACCTGTTAGCTGTCAGCCGACTGTGGTCATTCATTGGAGATAAATCGGCTTGGTTGCTATGGGATACTGGACTTTGTCATGTGACTTTTTTTCTCCTTGTTTTGTTATAATTGATGAAATGTTGGGCTGGAGATATTTCAAGTATAACTAAAGGAATATTTTAGATTTGAATAGTGTGGAGGGGTTAGAACCCCTGTCAGTTTTAATTGCTGCCTGTGTCCTCGTTAGGGAGATTCACTCTCTGTAATTGTCCTGATCACCGATGTCATCGGGAATGTAAGTGAGGGGAAATCCAAATTATTGAGCTGCCACCAGAACTGAAATGGAGTGAATTCTTCTAAGAAGGCCACTTGTTTCCGTGAGAACTATAAGGGGGTTTCCATTGTATTGGAAAGATATCCTTTTCACTTCCTGTTAAGTCTACAGGACAGGAAGTGAAGGACAATCAACCTAGTAGGACTTAGAGATGGGGGGGGGGGCAGTTTTAACCCTCCTTACTCCTATCTCAAATGAAAAAAGAAAATGTCTAAGTATATATTAAGGGGAATTTATCAAACCTGGAGCAGACAGAATGTGGAGCAGTTGTCCCTAAGAACCAATCAGATTCTCTTTCGTTTTCAAAACTTAACTTAACAGACTGAACTGCTCCAGTTTTGATAAATGTACCCCTTTTAAGTGTATTCTATAAAGCCATCAGAGACATGATGACTGTCATTCAAAGTTTTGATTTTTAACACTTTTTCTTGAATGCCGTTTCTGAAATTAAAACCTCATTCACTGTTAGAACTTCGTTCATTCAAGAAAAAACTTCCAACGTGCTCCTTCGATTTATTTTTAATTATTCACTACAGGTCAAGAAAAGATCATCAATTTGTCCCCATTAACTATTAATAAATCAAATAAACTTTGTGAAAACAATTTTATTAGAGTGAAGTCGGCTTTATTGCGGGGCTGGACAAATCCCAGTAGCCAGGTCCCCAATTAGGGCTGCAACCAATTAATCGATTATGAGAATAGTTGTCAACAATTCTCATTATCGCGAGAGAGATATTTTAATGCAATTGATCGAATATATAACCTGGCAACTAATCGATTATGAAAATAATAGCTACAGCCCTATCCCCAGTGCTCCCTACAAATTACAGCCGGTGCCTAAAGGTGGCCATACACTACTTAGATTTTTTGAAAGCACTATTGTACAAAATATCTTTCCTGCGACTTTCTGTCAGTTGATGGGGTCAAGTGGTCGTTTGATTTTTGACCTTGGGCCTTGTTCACACAGATGCAGTGCGTTCCGGCCCGATTCTGGCCAGAACGAACTGCCTCGCACTGTGCCTGGCTCATTTTTGAGGGGGGCGCGACGGTCCATCGAAGTGAATGGCACCGTAGCCTCGCCCCCCGGGCGCAATGGGAGCGCGTGATCACAAGGCACATTATGCCTGCGGTCCGGTCCGCACAAAATGCTGCAAGCACTATTTTGTGCGGACCCGACCGCAAGCATAATGTGCCTCGTGATCCTGTGCGGCTGATCGCATTGCGGAGGGAGGTTGCGGCTACAGTGCCATTCACTTCAATGGACCACCACGCCAACCCCTCCGCAATGCGATGCAGTGTTTTCTTGCCAGAATCGGGCCGGAACGCACTGCATCTGTGTGAACGGGCGCTTAGTGATGAAAAAAACGTGAAGGAGCTGAATGGAAAAATTTTTCCTCGAACACACAAAATTCTAGCAGTGGATGTGATTTTTTTTTCATTCGGAAAACTACATTCATTTCCAAAACCGGGAAACTACATTCATTCCAAAATCAAACAAAATTTCAATCGAGATTGATCAAGTGTGTGTTGGTATTATCGGGTGATTAAAAAAACTACTGCAAGCTACTAGTGTATGGCCAGATTCACTTTTGAGCTTTCCTCTAGTTGTTGTCAATGGATCTGGTTTCTAAAAGAAAAAAGAATCCTATTGGCTCCTGAATACCATATTCATTTGTCCACCCCATCTTATCAATTGCCCAGGGTTGTCTCTCTGTAAATACCTTCCAATTGTTTCTGTACAGACTCGCTATTTATGTAATCATTTCCAATTGTAGTGAGTATCACGTCTCTGGTTAACACTCCACTACATTGGCTTCTTGTCGCCTTTCCTGTATGGCCTCTATGCCGAATGGCAGGCTACAGATGTGGCTCTGTATGATTCATGATTAGGGCCCATTGTTCTTATTCACAACGGCAGTGCCGGCCAATTTAATTAACTGCTCAACGTGTAAATGGAACTGGGTGTTTAGTTTTGCTTGCTGTGTGCTCTTTGTCCTCAATAGCTCGCACTCTGTTTGCTTTATTGCCTCTCTACTATACACTCTTCCAATAACAGAGGCCGACTAGCTCAGATTGTCCTTTGTAGACACACCTGGCGCCGGGACGCCACACTGGAACTGCATTCAGCTGTTTTCTTATTAGAAAGCCAAGGTCAAAAACCGGTGTTGCCCGTCGTGAGGACTTCCATTTTGCTCTGGATTGTGACAGACACGTGGTGCGAGAAAGCTGAGCAAGCACAAGCTTGTAGTGGCTGGTTACAGGCTCGGTCTGCTCCTCCACCCACTCCTTCAAAGCCTTTCTTGCCTATTTCAACATTCCTCCATGCCGTCACTAATGTGACCGTCTCTCGGGGTTGGAGCTTCCTGTCAGTTTGTTACCTGACAGCTGTTTTAAATGCTGTGCTTCCCTTGCTCATTAAGAGAGGTTAGTGGCTCAGTGATGGTTTAATTGACTGAGCAGATCTTTACAAAAAATAAAAATGAAAGCCTCTCCACGTAAAAATGAAAATCTAATTTTCAGGGTTTCCATAATCCGTTTACATTCACAGTATGCTGCTTGAAATTAGCCAGATATTAGGAATAAATTACCCGGTGAGCCTGCTTTTTGTTAGCTTATTGCCTTCGATCCGGTGCCAGTCCAACAGCCGCTATTCATTTTTTTTGTTTTGTTTTAATCAACTTTTATTGTCAACACAATAAAATACAGTTAAAGACTCAACCACGTCATGCATTGTGTCCACATTAGAATATAGAGCAAAGGTCATCTACAAAAAAAAATGAAAATACAGTAAAATAAATGAAAAAGAACCAGTTATCCTAGAATGATAAATACAATGACAAGGAATTATGGGTAATAGAGAGGGGGGGGGCATAATATGAGCATTATACCTTAGGTGTGAACATATCTAGATATCTCCACACAACTGCAGCATTATCCAAGGTTTAGCAGACCTGGGTTATCCAGAAACAGATTTTTTGCTGCAGGCGCTATTTACACGGCTTATCTGGGCCCAAAAGTGAGCCGCGCAGCTTTAATATGCATGCAGTCATTGTGAGGTGCAGAAGTCCCCATTTCGCACATGGCTCCTCCCCTCACTTCCTGTCTGGCATCCATAATAACAGGGAAATCTCCGTCTGCCAATCATCAACAA